GGGTGGCGCGCACGCGCGTTCGGGAGGTCCCTGTCTCGCGCGCGCGCGCGCTCGGGGGTCCTCGCTCCCCCTCCCTCTGTTTCCCGCCTTTCCCCCCCCATCGCGCTCCCTCTCAGTCCCTCGCGAGGCGGCGGCCCTTCTCTGAGAAACACCTGAGGCGGCTTTTGATAATTAAAAACATGTGTGTGTAGGGGAGGGGGGGGGAGAAAAAAGCGGGAGCCGTCGGTGGCTGCGAAGTCCTCCTTTCTCCCCCCCACGTACCTGTTTAAAGCCGTCAAATGAGTTCACGCCTTGCTGAGGGGCAAAGTGAAGCGACACGCGTTCTCTATATAGGATATCTATATATCTATATAGATACCCTATATATGTATACACAGAGAATAAGTCACTTTTTAAAACCCTGTTTGCAGGGTCCCACGCACGAAGGTGCTACAGAAGAGTTGATTTAGTTAACGCATTGTGTGTAGGATACTTTACCACAAGGATCAACAACGCGTTAACTACATGAACTATGTATCAACTATACATATACATAAACATATATAGCAGCTTCGTGTGTGTGACCATGCAAACTGAGTTTTTAAAAGTGAATTATTCTGTATATGTCCCCCCTCAGCTCTGAGACAGACACACTCACTTTCTGACTCTCATATTGTGCGTGTAGATAACATGGTGAACCTGTTTGTCTGTCAGTATCTTATCACACACACACACACACAGAGTTTCACCAGTATAGCCTTAAGGCACAAGATGACAAAGGCCCTCCTCACAACTGAGGGAAATGTATAGAGAACAAATTCATTTTTATAATCCTGTTTGTGTTAACACTCTCTTTTCTCTCTCTCTTTGAGTGTATACATTAATTGATTGATGTGTATAACCCTCAGGCACCATGAGAGAAACACCCACCCACCTCTCAAAGGGTCCTTAATTTTTTATTCGTTTATTTACTTGTTTCTTCTTTCCGGTCTGGGCAAAAAATAATGATGATAAGGATGGTGATAATAGTAGTCCTTCGCTCTTAGAACAAGAAGTCTCTCTTTGGCTGGCCCGAGTCTTCACCAATTGCCTTTTCGCCCCAAAGGAGAGGCACATTTATACCAAAACAAAATAAAAGGCAATATCAGAAGAAAATGTTTCATTTCTGGGTGGATGTTTGTACGCATGTATTAATAATAATAATAATAATAGAGTAGAGAGAAAGAAAGAGCAGACAGATCCCCACATACAAGTGGTTAGTCTTTCAGTTGCTACCAGTCGTAAAAATGGCCAACAACAATAAAAACGAGCAAACTCTTTTCCTTTCCTCTTCAGGAGGGAAAGGAGCCCATGAAAGTCCACCTTGCATAAAATTTGCCTCTCTTTTAAGGTGCCACAAAACTCATCCATAAGAACCCTGACAGATAATGAGAACCATGTACTGTACGTTCCTTTTTCCTTTCTGTGAGGAGAACTTTTTTATTTATATATAACACAAGTGGTGCCAAATAAAAGTTATTGTTCTTTTTAAGATGCCACAAAATTCATGAGCAAGAATCACACTACCCAATAAAGATAATAACATACGTTTTCTTATCTCCTTTTTTTGAGGGGAGGAGGAAGAAAGACGAGTCAGTCAATGAAGGGGGAAACTATTGCCGAGCGGAGGATTACGTTAAAATACATTTATTTTTATTTGTGTTTTTTTTAAAGGTGAGACTGAGATAGTAGATAATAGTTGGAAACCTTTAAAAGGGCACACAGGGTAAATATCAGTTTATTTCACTGCTTTAAAACACTGTGTGTTTACTTCATAACAATGGCTGCCACTAACAATATTGACTTGTGTGTGTGTTTGTATTTAATTTTTCTCATTGTGGAAGGAAGAAGAAAACCGAGTCAGTCAATAAAATTGGGAATCTTGGTGGGTGTAAATTGATTGACTGATTTTATTTTATTTTTTGGAAGGCAGGAAGGAACCAGCTATAGAAATTTCAACATACTTTTTGAGAAAGTGTGTTGTTGTTGTTTTTGTTGTTGTTAACACTAATCATAATGTGTGTTTCACTCTCTTTTTCATGAAGGGAGAGAGAAATTCCAGTCAGACAGTAAAGTTGCCAAAGTCTGAAAATATACATAAAATAACATGAAATAACACTTTCCGTCTCTTTCTTTCTTTCTTTTTTTAAGTTTGGGAATGAGCCATTCTGTGGAGTGAGAAACTTTTAAAACTCTAAGTGTATATCTCCTCCAGTGAATAAATGTTTATATCTATAAATATAAATCTTTCTCACTGGTCCTAAGTGCCATGTAAATCCACTGCAATAACAACTCAGAGGGGGGAAATAAATGTATCTTTATATATCCATATCCCCTCTGAAGTGCCAGCTTTACTGACTAGCTCCATTTTTCCTCTTTTCACAAAAAGAGAACAAATCTACAGCAGTAGCGTTAGCAGTATTATGTATGTACATAATGCTCCAGCATAATTAAAAGAAATTCACATTTTTCCAGACATGCACTTTTAAAGATTTCTGCATTTTTGCAACTGACCCATTTCCTCACCAAAACAAAACAAAAAGATCAATGTTCTTTTTTTTCAGATATAAACATTTTTTAAAAGTTCTTCTGATTTTTGGGGAGACTTTCCAGAAGCAAGAGAAAAATAAACAAGTCCTCTATATCCACTTAAGATTTATATAGCGCTTTTCAGCAGTGAAATAGCTTCACATTTGCTTAACAAACATGTTTAATAAGTTTCCAATTTGACGTGGGGCCTCTTGACTATACCAGTCAAGAGGGAAAATAAGTGCTGCTGTATTGTTAGTGTTTCCATCTTTATTTAACAGCTTATCTTCCCTTACAAGTAACAAATTAAGTATGCTTTTATCTGCAGTACACTCAAATTCATCTAAAGATGTTCATCTCAATTTCCTGGCTCTCCCACTTGCCCTCACTTCTTCACAAAGGGAAAAGTAAGCAATCTTAAAATTTAATAATATAGTTGTTAAAATCTGCATACTCAGAAAGTGCTTTGTGTTCATTATATATATATTTCTTGAAAAGCTTCCAATTTTATTGACTAGAATTCTTTCCACTGGACTAAGAGAAACATAAATGGGCTTCTGTAATAAAAAATTGTGGTTGTTTCTCCAAATGTTGTTAATCAAGATCATCTTAGCATTTAAGTTTATTTTTATGTACTATCACGTTGCTTCCGACTTTAAAAGTGTAACAGGGTTTTCCTGGAATGTTTTCAAGGGGTAATTTACTATTGCTGTCCCCTGAAGAGTTTCTCTGGTTGACCAGAGATTTGAACCCAGGTCCTGGTCCAATACTCTAACCACCTGTCCACACCAGTTAGCATTCGTACAGCATTTTTGGGCAAGGAGCAGTTCAGGAGTGGGCCAGCTACCCATGAGGTTTGTGTGCTGACTTGACTTTGAGCAATTGGAGTGTTCATCAACATTCTGTGGTTTTCCCCTGTTGCTCTCCTGCCTAAACATGGATCATGTCTTTTCAAAGCATTTATATAGCACTTCCCAATATTAGAAGCACTTCACATTTGCATGTGCACATGTGCGTGCATGCGCGCACATGTGCATGCATGCACGCGCGCGCACACACACACACACCCTATTGTCAGTTTTATTTACTGGCTTTCTCCTGCACATCACACAGATAGACATCTCCATGTTTTTTTTCCTTGGCTTATCACCCGTCATACAGAGAAAAATGAATGCAGAGATAGACAGATATGGAGCCTAGCTTTATTTATTGGTTCCCAGCTGTTTGACAATAACCTTTGATGGGGGGTGGGGAAAGAAAAAGAAAACTTACTTACCGGTAGCTTTAATTTTTCTGCCTGACAGACTGCTGTTGGAAACAGAGGAAGAAGGGCGGTCAAAAAAAAAAAAAGTTGTAAATCCCTGTATAGACATCTCACCTGTGAGATCTCAGAAGAAAAGCAAATGGAAAGCTCAAATGGAAATTCTTCAAAGCAGGCCAAAATTGCGGATAGCCGTCTTGGTCCATTAAATGAAATCCAAACGCATTAGTCATCGTTGCCGTATTATAGCCCTGCTGCTTTTGAACATATAAATGGACCCCAAACATCCCTTCTGCATTTGGAGAATTGGGCGGAAATGTATGTTAAATAGCCTATTCGAAGCACTATTTCCAGGGACATAATGGGAAATGCACAAACATGTCTCTTTAGAACAGTAACAAACCATCACTTTGAGATGCCCAGCTGATGAGAAGGAAATATAACAAAACGAAAAACCCAAGTAAAATAAAAAAGTACGCTATTCTGGCCTTGAGAAACATTAGATTTCTATAATATATGCCAATTCTGGGAAGGAGGGAGCTGTGTGTGGGCAACAGGAGCAGCTCACAGATTGAGAATGGGGCTCTCGGCAGACCCCTACCCCACCCTGAGCTATCCTCAGTGGGGAGGGAGATATTTTACACCCTTGAAATAGATGTTTTGTGAGAATCTCATACATGAAAAGAGAACTCAGAAATTTTGTTTAAAAAGGTAATTTATTGCAGTCTTTTTCTTGTTTTTTATTTGCATCCTTTCACTGCTTAGACCTATCTCTTGTTCTCTCTTACTCAAGAATTACTTTTGAAACACACACACACACACAAATACACACACACACACACAGAGTGTTTAACCATACAGCTTCCCCATCAACACATCCACATGTTTTTATTACTCAAGAATTACCTTTGAAACACACACACACACACAAATACACACACACACACACAGAGTGTTTAACCATACATCTTCCCCATCAACACATCCACATGTTTTTCATCAACTGCTTCAGCCTCTTTCATCTCCCTCACCCTCTCCCTCTCTGTGTGTGTCTACCTGGCTGTCTATCTAAAGCTCCCTTTCTTCCCCATCTGCTATTAATTCTTCTGACATTTCCACTATCCTTTGCTTAATTTCTGTTGTTGCCTTAGATTTATGCAGTCTATTTTTCTCTCACACAAACATACACAGCCATACTTCTGAAATAGCACCTCACTCGTGCTGGGTATACCCGTTGGCTATGCATTCTTGGTAGACTTTTGTCTCAGTAATAACACAGGGATGTGCTTTAGGTGAGATTCAGGGTTGTTTATTACCATTTTATAGGTAGATAGCTTTCTAATATATGCACACATTCAGAAGCAGCCGAACTCCCCTACACTGAATTGTGTACTTCAGGCAAGTGCAAGATAGCAGAAGGCCCCGGAAAAAAAAAAATAAAAGTACATTCAGCCGAGCCTTTCATTGCCCTTTCAGACATCAGCGGCTGGATAGGCTGAGTGGCTCTAGGGATTCATACCTTGGAGTTCAAATCCAGCTCAGATCAATAGCAGCTAAAGAGCTGTTACTACTTGATAGTCTGTTTAGCAACATATGTGAAGGGAAGAGAGTCCTTGCTAAAATCACAGCTGGGCATCTTCAGCCTGTTGTTCATGGCACCACTCCTTCCATTTGAATGAACTGACCAAAACATTCCAGACGCAGATAGATTTGTTCCCTGTAACAATAAATAAAAATGGAGAAAAAAACGTGCAAGGTTCGGCACAAGCGCAAGCAACTGCTCCTCCTGTTGAAAAATCCAACACTTCTTAAATTTTTGGGTTTACATGTGTTACTTTTTGGAGGTAGAAATGGTTGGAACCTAAAATCATTTTTCTTGCAAGAATGGATCAATGCTTTTAAAATCTTCAAATACTAGAAAGATTGTCATACAGAGGGGCAGGTTCTGTTCTCAATCATCCTACAGTGCTGGACACACAATAATGGGCTCAAGGTACAGAATGCCAGATTTTGATTGAATGTCAGGAAACTTTTTCCAGTTTTCCACAAAAATGGAACCAATTACCTCGAGAGGTGGTAAGCGCTCCTACACTGGAGGCCATCAAGAGAAAATTGGACAACCCTCTGTCAGATCTCCTTTGACTTGAATTCCTGCATTGAGCAGGACTCTACGGCCTTAGAGGCCCCTTCCAACTTCATGATTCTATGAATCTATGAAATCCTCCCTGAGCCATGAAATTCATCTTGGAAGAGTCATTCAGAGTGATTATGAGGATAAAGTGCAGAGGAGAAGCATGATGAATACCAATTCTGCACATCGGAGGGAACGCAGGATATATCAGGCAGTGATGGCCACTTGAGTGTTTAAATCCCACAAATGCCCCCATCACTGCTAGCAGTGAGAAAAAAACACATTACACCATCAAATGTCTAATTTTTCAATGCCCATTCATTATGCTACAAACCAGTTCCTTAAGGCCACCGCTACACACTGCCTAGTGATATGACCAGTTGTGGCGAACTACTTTCACAATGGGAAATGGCCCAGCCCAAACCCAACCTTGTGAGTGAAAACGGAGCTTTATTCATCAGAAGTATCTCAGCAGCAGTAGCGTGGACGTTCCTTCATCTCCCCAATGCTCCTCGACTCTTGCTTTGTCCTCAACAAATGATTTTCAGGAGCTGGCTAAAAAGGCTTTGTTCAGTTCCTCCATTTCCTGTCTCTGGTTTGTCTGAGGCATCACAAAATTACTGAGCCTGAAAGGAGATAATGAGTGGTTGGTGGGAGGATTTTAAAAACTCTCCCTTTAGTTCCTTAGGCATTTCTGCTCTATGAAGCCACTAAAGGAAGAGGATGGGGTGACCACATGTAATTTAGTTATCCTTTAACATGCCCCATCACAATCTGTATCAGTCATTCCCAACCTTGGGTAACCCAGATGTTCTTGGAACACAGTTCCCAGAAATCTTCACCAACAGCTGTGCTGACCGAGGTTTCTGGGAATTGCAGTCCAAGAACATCTGGGTTACCCAAGATTGGGAACCACTGATCTGTATGGTTAACCCAAAATGCAAAGTTTATGCCTCCTTCTTCTCTCTCTTTCAGTCCTGACTCTCTGTGTTGCTCCAGGTTGTATGTGACCCACAGAGGAGTCTTCTAGCCCCCAACGTGCATTGCCATCATCTCCTCAGAGGTTGGCAGCATGCAATGGACTGCAGTGGTACACCACACATGAAGAATATTTATATGCTAAGTCTGAGAGTGAATGTTTTGCTTACTGAGAATAGAAAACATGCAGTCGTCATCATCATCATCATCACCACCATAATCTTAGACTATAGAGCTGGAAGAAACCCTATGAATCATTGTGTCCAGCCGCCGTCTTGTAGGGAATCACACTCCCAACCTCTGGCTCTGCAGTCAGAGATGGAAACTGTTCCTTCTTTACATAAAACAGTTTCTCTTGGACACAAGCAGCAAATTTCTTTGTGGGAAAGTCAAGTCTGACAACAGAGAACATGTCCATTTGGCTCAATATATCATGATTTGGGGCTGGACTGTAAAATATCCCTTCCTGAGCCACAACTCACTCGTTCTTCGGGTTGATGCTCCACCATTTAACTGTTGCACTTTTAACTGCTTTTCATCCAGTAGTGTTCTGATACTATAAAGTTATTTCTGAGAATTGAAGAGGGACAACGTTGTGTGAACTCTTGGACTAGATTAACTCTAATGTCTCTTTCAGCACAAAAAATCTGTGTTGTTCAAAGGTTTAAGCATGCTGTATTCACTTTATATTCCATTGATATATATTTTATATTTTATTGACCCTGAACCAGAGCGAGTTCTTACCTACTAAGTTATCTTTTATCTCTTGATACGTGGAAACTTGCTGTGATGAAAAATTCAGAACCTTGGGACCCATCTCTTCCTTTTTGTTTGGTGTCTGGCTTATTTGTTGTTGTTGTTTAGTCTTTAAGTCGTATGCGACTCTTTGTGACCCCATGGACCAGAGCACACCCGACCCTCCTGTCTGCCACTGCCTCCCGGAGTTTGATCAAATTCATGTTGGTCGCTTCAATTACACTGTCCAACCATATCGTCCTCTGTCGAGGCTTTTCTTCGCATGAGATGGCCAAAGTATTGGAGCCTCAGCTTCAGGATCTGTCCTTCCAGGGAGCACCCAGGCTTGATTTCCTTCAGAATGGATAGGTTTGTTCTCCTTGCCATCCAGGGGACTCTCAAGAGTCTCCTCCAGCATCACAACTCAAAAGCATCCATTCTTCGGTGGTCAGCCTTCTTTATGGTCCAGGTCTCATTTCCATACGTAAATACTGGAAAAACCATAGCTTTGATGATGCGGACCTTTGTCGGCAAGGTGATGTCTCTGTTTTTTAAGATGCTGTCTAGGTTTGTCATTGCTTTCCTCCCATGAAACAGGCATCTTTTAATTTCATGTCACCATCTGCAGTGATCATGGAGCACAAGAAAGTAAAATCTGCAAAGAGATCAAGCCTATCTATCCCAGGTGCAGAAGCCCGAGAGCAGCCAGGTGGGCACAGCCAGGGGCGGGCTTAAGTGAAGGACCACCCACCCTACAGCCGAAGCTTCCACCGTTGCTAAGGCAACCAAAGATGCTCCCACAAGATGCCCCGCCTCCAGTTCTACAGATTGACAGTTGAACCGCCACTCCAGCCAGTCTGCTTCCATGGGTCCAGGTCCCTTAACCAGCTCCTGCTCTCATGGCTTGTCTTAGTCTCTTCTTTCCTGCTCCTTTCCCTGTTCCATCTTCCTCCTCCTCCTTCTCTTCTTCCTCTTCCTCCTCCTCCTCCTCGCCCCCTCCTCTTTGCTCTCCTTTCCCCTGGTCCTTCTTCCTCCTCCTCCTCCTCCTCCTCTTCCTCCTCCTC